CGCTGCTGCTCTGGCTGAGGGGAGTTTCTGCCTTAGTGTGATGGGGGGTGGAGCCTGCAGGGACAAGACCTCTTACACAGCAATTGGCCTAGGTCTCCGATCCAAAACAGAGGGAGGTCCACCCCTGCGTGGGCCCTGCCTTTCCAGTAAATTTGGCCTGGTGTGTCCCTAGTTCCCCATTCCCAGAAACTGCGCTGCCTGGCCTTCGAACTGGGGCCCCCCCAGAACCCTGTGCTCTGCTAACAGAATGGTGGTGTCATCTTGTGGTAGAATCTGGGCACTGCAGACACACTCCTTCCTGGGCTGAGCACAGACCTGTGGGCCCCTGGGATTCTCTGCCTTTCCTCCACACCACGCTCTTATCACTCAGCCTCCCACGGGCAAATGACTGGGGTACAAGGGCGGATGAACCCTGAACTCTGGTCGTCTGGTTAGGAGCCTGGGACTGGGTTTCAAGCCTCCAACTATGCAGCTGCCTGGGTACTTCTATCCAACTGGAAAGGCTGGAGAAAGGGAAAATGAGTCTCGCTTGGGGTGGGGGGCCAGGGGGAGGATTCTGGAAAAAGGGGCAGCTACTCCCACTCCCGGGGCTAATAACTCTAGATTGCAGGGACCATTGCAGCCAGGGGCAGGATCAGAACCCTGGTGTACCCCCAGACTTCCAGCCCCCTGGGTCTACACCCTCCACACCAGCTGAGAGTCATTTAATATTGCAGCTGCTCCAAATCCTCTGCACAACTATGAGCTCTGATTCTTAGATAACAACTGTGAGCCTCTGGTGCCACGAGTGAGCCTGAGGGTGGGGGGAACAAGTGGCCTGCCACACCTGCACTGCCGTGTTCAGCCTCCCTGCTCCAGCTTCCATCCTGCCATGGCCATCACACCCCAGGAGAACCCCTGTGCCCCAGCTCCCCAGAGGTCAGCGAGTGAAAGAAGGTACACCCCCAGGCCACTGTGTCGCCCAAGCCACACCCCCTGGGCCCGTCCCCTGCTTGGAGGCGCAGGGCGCCTCTGCGCCCACAAATAGGAAAAAAAGGTGAACTCCCAGACCCTCAGAGGGTCACGGGGGCCCAGCAGCTCCAGGTCATGGGAGCAGCCCACAGACCCTGAAGGGCATTGCTCCGGAGTCGGCTGGGACTCATTCCCTGACGAGGCCATGCAGGATGGCTCAGAGGTTGGGGGGTGGGGGTGGGGGTCTGGCTGGTGTCCTGGGTGGGTCTGGTTCAGAGGTCCTGGCTCCAAGGTCGGTTAGTAACAAATTATGAGGAGCTGCTGAGGAGGGCAGGGGGACTTCATTCTAGAAGGAGCACCAGAGCAGGGGGCCAGGTTGGATCCATCCTTCCAGGAAAGCGTGGCTGGCCCATGATCAGGGATTTCTGGAGGCCTGTTTTCCAGCTTGTGATATGGGGGGAAGTGAAGAGGCGGATGTGACATTGGGCCAGGAGGCCCTGGCCACTGTGCAGTATGCTCCCAACGGTCACGCCCACACTTGACCCCCAGCCCAACTCAGAATCTCAGAGAGAGCTGGCTGGTCCACCAGCCGCCTGCCCCGCCCCCATCTCTTGGGCCCATTCCTAGGGCAAACTGAGGAGGGGCCAGCGCAAGGGGGGCAGCCCCTATTCCAGGGCTCCCAGCTCATAGAGGACGCCTGTGGGTGTCAAGGCAACCAGGCAGGATGCGGTTTCCATGGCAACTGGTGTCCTTAGAGGTGCACTGCCTAGCAACTTGGTCCTTAACGCAGCTTAACCACCCCACCCCCATCCCCACTGGACAACTTCGGGGACCCTTTCTGCCCGTATGATGGCCGGAAGCTGCGGCCTGGAGCGCGGACCCTGGACCAACACCCTCCCCTCCTCAGGGACATCCTGGTGCCAGATCCCCTTGGACACTCCGCCCATGCTGGCGCCCCGGTGGCCCCTTCCCACATTGTGCTCACAGTCAGGACACCACTTTGTACATATCAGCGTATCTGTCCCCTCTCCCGATCGCACAGCCTCCTGATCCCTACAGCGGCGCCGTCCACATGGCAAGGGCCACAGAGTGATGAGCGTTCCAGAGCTAGCCACAAACTCTGGGTGGTCCTCCGAGGCGCAACAGCAGCTACCGTGGGAGGTCCGTGCAGAGAGGGGCACCCGGTGGCAGACGGTGACGCTGCTGCTCCTGCAGCCCAACATGTCACAGGGCCGCTGCGCCGCTTCGCGGCCAAAGTGTGAACCGCTGCCTTTGGGGCGGCTGCGCTAGGCTGTGAGATCCACCAGACCCAGGCAACCGCCATGCATCCCCACCGGGCACCCCTACCCCAGGAGAGAGGGGCCTGTTCCTCCGGCTTTCTGCATGGGGTCACCCACCTACAGTCACAGACTGGCCTCTCTCTTCCCTTTCCTTACCCTCCACGTGTCCCTGGAGAGGATGCCCTTATGGGTCCCAGCCCTTTCGGGTTCCTGTTGGTGTACAGGCCTGGGCTCAGGGATGCAGCAGTTTGCCTGCTGTTATTACAGGAGTCACCAATCTCCACAAGGGATTCTCTCTTCATGTGGCCGCCACTTGACTGGGCACCAGAGCTGGAGAGCACCCCACCCCACCCCACGGGGGCTCTTTGAAGGGATGGGACTTTCCCCCACCCCACCCCACCTCTAGATGACCACCTTACCTCGATTGTCCTTAAGAGGTCATTCCATGGGATTCTCTGAGCTGAGCACCTCCTGAGGCGCCTGGTAGTACAGAGAAAGACCCTGGATTCTCCTTCCTCCCCCCCCCTTGGAGGACCTCACCAGTGCCACTCCATAGCAGCTCTTGCTAATGTCAGCGCTGGGCTCCAGGTCCTTCCTCACACAGCCCCACTCCCGCCCCCACCCGGAAGCTGCTGTCATACAGGGATGCACAGAGGCTGCCCCCCACACCCCTTCCTAGAAGCACAGCCTTCTGAGCCTGAGCCATATAAATGTCCAGCTGGGAAGGGCCTGTAAGCTGGCCACACCACCCCCTCTGTTGATGAGGTTGTCCTAGCAACCCTGTGTCTGCCCCATCCCACTCCCATCATGGCAAAGAAAATGGGAGTGTGACCACTGATAGACAAGAGATTCCAAACCTGCTCATTTGGGAAGGGGAACTGACTTAGTAGAGAAACCTGGGGGTGGAATGAAGCAAGGACAAGAAATCAGGCACAGGGGATGGGCTAGAGTGACCAGACCACACTTTTTTGAGGGCAACAGCGCTCTGTATATGAAGAGAACAGGTGTGAAGTGGGGAGCTCCCCCAAATCTGGAAACTCCCCCAAATCTGTTCCTCACATCAGAACCCTGGCAGGCGATTCCTGTCCTGATCTGAGATGCCTTCTCTGCAAGGGGCCCTTACTGCCCTCGAGCCTAACGTTAATTGAGAGAGAAAAGGGCCAGGCGGCCTTTTCATGCCTGCCTTGCAAATGGGGATAGAAAAAGAAGGGTCCAGCCATTGGAGGCAAGTGTTAGGAGGAAACCCAGGGTAAGAAGAAAGAGAACCACAAGAGGAAGAGAGGGAGTGAAGAGGCAAAAGAAGATTCCCCATCTTGCAAAAAGCCTGCTTTTCACATCTCTAACGGAACAGGATCATCTGAAAAGGGGGAAGGGAACATTTGTGGAACAATCAAATGAGGTTGGAAATTAAGAACATGATGACTGAAATAATAAGACTCACTGCCCCCAGTCAGTGCTGACTCCTAACAACCCCCTGCGGGTTTCCAAGACCGTAACTGGTCACGGGAATAGAAAGCCCAGTCTTTCTCCTGAAGTGATGAGACACCTATCCAATGGCACAAGAGTATCAAATATACCCCGGACTGCAAGAAAAAACGAGCACAGCTGTGTTGGGAAAAGTTGTACCACCAGAAGGCTCCGTAGAAGCAAGGACAGCAAGACTTCATCTCACACACTTCGGACATGTCATCAGGAGGGGGACCAGGCTCTAGAGAGGGACATCACACTTGATAAAGCAGTGGATCAGTGAAAAAGAGGAAGGCTCTCAAAGAGACGGGTGCAACAATGGGCTCCGACAGAGCAACAATTGTAAGGATGGCATGGGGCCGCCAGGCAGTGCTGTGTTCTGTACCACACGGGGCCGGTGTCAGAGCTGAACAACAAACACATACCAAGGAAACTCCCTAAAGATAAAAAAGATCGAGAAAAGGAAATAAGATTAATGAAAAAGGCACAACAACTGATGAACGGGCGTCCCACAAAAGAACAGGAAAGCAAACGACATTTGATAAAAGATACAAATGTAACAAAACTATAGAACCAAGTCTCCAACATTTTTGAGAATGCTATTTGAGGATGCCCTTCCACAGAACAAGGAAGACATGTAGCCAGAGATGTGGAGACAAGGAATCCAAGAACGTTGAACAGTGACAACAGACAGCCTGATGGACTATTGGAAAGAAAAGAAGACCAAAATAAACCAAAGACTTGGCTCTGGCTCCACCATTCACTAGCTGCTTTGCAGTCATTCAAAGTCCTTAGGAGCACATTAGATTAAAAGCACTTTTTGTTTAATGTTTAAAAACTCTGACCGTAGATTGAGCTCCTCTTTGTGGAGAGAGCAAACGTGTACTTCAGGGCCCATCGCCAAAGTTTCTTAAATATGGAGCTCAGGCTGGGAACAGGGGACTGAGAGGAGAGGGAGGCTTGCAATGGCACACTTTTCATGGTTGGTTTTTTTAAACCAAGAGACTGAATTCTCTGAGCTCTGTCTCAAATAAGTAGTGACTGTGGCTGGGTCAGGAGATACAGAGGGAGCTAACCGAATGAGGACTTCACGGGAATAGTGCCTGCCCAGGGAACAGTGAGTGGGCTGAGGTGTGCTGGGGGACCCAGGCCCATTGTGACCTTTCTGACTGCTCCCAAGCCTTTGTGACAGTCACCCCAGGATAGACCTGAGCTATGACACCAAGTGCTCTCAGTAAGAGAGTGCGGGTTGGGCCCAGTCCATAACCTGGACCTGGGGTCAAGAAGGGGTCACAGGGAGGTATGGAGGGGCCGAAAACCCTGGGCCCCTGTGGCCACTACCACCCTCAGTGCCCCCAGACCCCAGCACTGTGCCACGGACGATGCCTGGAGCAGCCCTGCCAAGGATTTGTAAGGGGGCCCTGCCTGGCCCCGCTGTTCTCCATGTACCCAGTGGGGTCTGTGAGGCCCTTCCCAGTCCCAGATCGGAGGGTGGGGGCCCAGGTAGAGGGCGAGGCATATGGGGGCACCCCTTTGGTGCAGAAAGTGAGACAGCCACAGAGGTGGCTGCAGTCAGTCAGGGGTGAGCCAAGAAGAGGTGGCAGCAAGGGTGGCTTGGGGCTGGCCCCCACACTCAAGGGGAGGGCAGGGGAGGGATCCCCAAGCTCAGGGTCCAGATCCTGCCCACCCCTGCAGCCAGTGGGAGGGACCCCAGCCTCGTCCAGGGCAGAGCCTCCCCAGCCCCAGAGGCCGCCGCTGATGCCTACAGAGCTCTCCCCTGTCCAGCTGGAGCAGGAGAACCGGTGTTTGGTGAGCAGGACACGTCCCCCCCGCCCCCACCTCCCCACCTCCCCACTCCCCAGGCTGCGGAAGTGGTCTCAGGCGCTTCCGGGGCCCTGCTCAAAGCCCCAGACCCCAGCCTTTGGGGGCCAGCGGGAACAGGACTCCGTCTGCCCCATCCACCTGTCTGTCCCCACGGCCCAGAGAAAACAGAACCAGGACCTGCAACAGCAGCTGGGGGCGCTCATGGGGCCGAGGTACCAGTTTCTGCCCTTGTGCCACAAGC